CCTCCTGCTTTAGGTTGTCTTCTGTTTGCTAGTCCATGATTGATGGCGCAGACCTATGACTCATCGCTTATCCTTACTCATGTTTTTTTATGCTTTCCACTAATTAAGAAAATGTTACAAAAGATTCCTGACAAATATGTTCACATTTGATTACTTTTATTTGTACATTAGATAATAATCTCAAATGCTACCATATATATATAAATATATCTGAATAAAAATTTATTTACATATTATATTTATATAAATTTATCAATACAGAAAATTATTCTTTGTTAATCCTACGTAATTAATGTCAAATGCTTTAGGACTGAAAGAAACGTCCTCACAGCCTTGATTGATTGATATGCTTTCTCGTTTATATCAGCGACCTAATCCGATCCGTTTGTATTCTTCTTCTTCTTCTTCTTCTCCAATCTCCAGCAAGTTTTTGATCACTGCATCTGTAGTCATCGTCAAGAATTCCGATAAATCCCTATTATATCAAAAGAAAGAATTAATCATCAATATAGAAAATTATAAATAAATTCATAACTTTTTTGTAACTAATTAAGGCCATTATTCTCATGTAGTCATATATTTTCTATTAAAGAATACATTCTCCATGTTTGCGCCATTTTTCTTCTAATAAGTTGAAAGGATAAGCTGATATAAACGAGAGAGAGAGAGAGAGAGAGAGAGAGAGAGAGAGAGAGAGAGAGAAGTTGAAAGGATAAAGGAAATACATAATAACATCAAGCTACAGCAAATTTGCCATTGAACTACGGACAAAAGCCGTAGTTATATGGCAAAAAATTGTACGTATCGACCCCTTAATGCCTATCTAGTAGCTAGGTATCTCATTATAATTATTTGTTCCCAAATCACTCAATACCAAACATGACATATATGTGTGTATACTAACCCGGCCAATGTGTCAAATGAGAGACCAACAGTGTGCTTTGCCTCCTGGATGGCCCATTGGAACCTCTTCAGCTCCTCAACTGGACGAGACCCGTCGTCCTTAACCTGGAGCTGCGACGGCTTCACGTCGTAAAAGATTGGAATGACCTTCTTCCTAGTTTCCATCATTAGAGCTAGCTCGTGGAGACAAAAGTATGATTCACAATAACGCGGGGAAAATACAGCAACCCCAACCTTGCAGTGTCGAACAGCATCGTTAATTTTGTCGAACAACCGGTCGCCAGGCTTCATGTTCTTGCTGTCCAGAAATGGGTTGAGCCCAAGGCGGACTAGATGTTTGTAGAGCAATCCAGAAATGGTTCTCTTGGTGTCAATCCCTCTATGGTTAATGAAAACGTCGCAGGGGCGATGTAGCTGTTTTGGAAAATTTCTCATTTGTTGGCGGTGGTGGTGGGTGTCGAGGTTAAGGATTTTACTACTAAAGTTCTTGGCAAGGATGGCTTTTCAGAGATATGGTTTAAAGTAGTGAGTTATGTGTTTTGGAATCGGAGTGATAAGGGTTCATATTGTTGGTACTGTAGGGGGTGGTGTTAGTGTATTTATAGTTTTAATTGAAGAGAAAATAATATTTTTTAAATAAAAAGTAAAATTTAACTGATGTAAGAAATCCATAACAGATTACAATACTAGTATAAATGAGTATATATCCAGATGTATACACTTATAAAATATATAAAAACATAAAATCAAAAAAACTAATGCTTATTGAACATTGCAATCAAATCTAAGCTTAGTATTCGACAATTAAACCACATTATAGCACAATTTATCTAAAATAGAAGATAAATTGGTTTTGGGGGCAAAAAAATTAACCAGGGCTTTTAATATATAGTTGAAACAAGCACAACAATCTAAGCCTAACAAACCTCAAGTATTTGTTGTCATCCTCTTCTACAATAGGAAATCTCAATGAAAGATATGTAGAGAGTAAAGGCAAAAACCTTTTAAAAAAATAGAGAGACACATTCATAAAAGAAAATGATCCTCACGAGAGAAAAGAAAACTCTTATTTTTAGCCATTCATCTTAAAGGTCAAAAGGATGGGAGGCAATAATCAAGGTGAGGGAAAAGAAGAGAAGTTCAATGCAAGGGATGGGAATGGGGCAGCCGCAAAGAGAAAATAATATCAAAAAAGAGAAAAAGTGTCTATTAATCTTTACTCTAAAAAAATGGTGTTAAAGTTGCAAAAATCTCACCAATTAATTAATATTTTGAAACATAAGCATTATAATATGTGTTAATTTTTAAATTAATTGAATATATATAATTAGTTGATTCATTGCACAAAATTTAAAGTTATTAAATATATATTAGAAAAGAGAAAAAGTGTCTATTAATCTTTACTCTA